GTCTGATAGAGCCTGGTGGAACCCCTGAGACTGTGGCCCCTAACTGCACTTCAGGTCTGGAATTGAACCCATTCCTGTGGCTTCCATCCAAACAAAAGACAGGCATATGAGCTGAACATTTACATTAGGTAAGTAGACTCCTTGGAAAGATTAATCATGGGAAAATAAAAGGGCTGTATATTCACAGGGAAACAGCTCGGGGTGCTATAGTGCATGGGAAGGAAGGACACAGGGAAGAGGTGAGTATGGGGAAGAAATGGGAGGGGAACTGTTGTATTGTGGGAAATTGCAGTCAATGTCAAGAGACAAAGTGTATGTGAACTGCTGTATGGAAAGTGAATTTGCTCTGTAAACTCTCACCCAAATCACAATAAAAATTAAAAAGAAAAGAAAAAGATTCCATTCCCTCATCATCTCATCAGCATATCATAGATTCTACACAGTGGTTAAAGTGGAAAAAAAATATTTTATTAAATCATGCAGAGAATACAAGTTATCTTTAGATGGATGAATGACAGGTATACCATACAGTCACTCAGCCCAGATGGACCCATGTTAATAACCTAAACAGCTTTCACAAGCCCCCACAGTTCTCCCTCACCACCTTGACTGCTCTCTTTCCCCAAGACAGTCAGCTAGCTCTTGACTCTGAGCTCCTAAGGAGAGAAGCTCCTGGTTTTGATTCTCTGTGTCTCTTGCCTGCATTTAGGCCAGATCCCATTCTATGGGAGGTCCTAAGCTTGTAAGGAGGTACCTGTTTGTACCTTCTTTCCCTTTGCAATTTCCTCTCCTGGACGTTGTCCATCTGCCAACTTGTGAAAACCATTCTCTTTTTGGCTGCCTCAGGAGAACCTCATCTGTGCTCAAAAATCCTGTTTATTGAGCTCCATCTTCTCTAAATGACCTCATTTTAACCTCTGTCCCTCCCCTGTCCCTGGACACAAGCTTTCAGGGTCTCACATCTACTGGACAACCCTTCTCCTTCTGCCTGTCGATCATACCACATATACAATGCCTCTCCTGCCAAGTGCAGAGAGGGGTCTACTTAAACTAACACATTTGGGGAAGAGCTGGAACTATGTCTTCTCTGGGCTAAAGCATGACCTGGGATATGAGGTTCTACTGCTAGGATTGCTACAAGCCTGTGCTGGGGAAACCCAGGGGAAGAGGGGTTTCTTCTGCCCTTCCAAGATGAGCACCTAATGGAGCAGAGAGTCCACTGCATCAGGAGTCAGGAAATCTGGATTCTTACCCCAACTTTGTCAACAACTTGCTGTGTGTCTCTGGACAAATCACTTACCCTCTCAGGACCTCAGCTTTCTGATCTATAAAACAAAAGGATTGGACTAGTTTCTAAGGGCTATTCCAGCTGTGACCCTTTAAGAAAATAATATCAAGAGGTCAATTTGTACAAAACTTTTACTTTTCAAAGCACTTTCACATTCATGATTTCTACTCTTGGACTTTTTTGTAGATTATCAGATTAGGTCCCACTTCCCCCATTTAACATATAGGGAAAGTGAGGAGCAAAGAATGAAAAGACTCACCCAAAATAATTCAGCAAATTAGTGGAATGGGCTGGGACTAGAATCCAGTCTCCTGACTTTTGTCAGGGTTGCTGTGTGGTGAGGGGACACAGTGGGCGTATGGCTGGAAGGTGCTTGGGGGTGGAACCAAGTCAATCTTGGGGAAAAGACATCTTTGTCTAATTGGTCTGCCCGGAAGGAGCACCTTGTTCTCATAGTTCTCCCAGAGGGAGAGGGAACACCTTTTCTCAACTAATCGCCCAGAGAGCCATCTTTCTGCAATTTGTCTGTCTGTAGGGGAGCCTGTTCCTTATGTGTTAGCAGTAACCTTGATGCCTGGGCTATTTCCCTTCCCACTCTGGGGCTAGATGAATAGGTCAGGAGAGGAGTAGCTAGATAAAATATAGGACAAAATAAAACTGTGTCCCAAATATTGCATGAGACATATTTATCCTAAGAAAGTATTTGCTATCTGAAACTCAGATTTGACTAGCTGCTCGGAATTTTTATTTGTTAAATCAGCAACCCATTCTGAAAGAGTTGGTGTGCCTGAGTTGATCTGTATCAGCTCACAAGAACCCACTGTTAAATTTTCAGGAATTTTGTAAGCTGGTTGTTAAATCATTGGTAGTTCAACATTAACCAAGGTGGGTGTATTTACACCATGAAAATTGGCAATCAACACAAATCAGTGCTTCTCTCTCTCTCTCTCTCTCTCTATATATATATATATACATATATATATATATATATTTAGAGCTAGTAAACATTTACCAACACACCAAAATATGGAATCTCCCTTGTCCCTAGCATACATACTGGGCAAAGACTCTGAAACCATGCCCTGGGTGCTTTGCAGCCATGTGGGTGTGGAGTCAGACAGCATCTGAGGGTAGCTATCAGGCTTAGTATATTAGAATGAAATAATCTACTCCTAGGATCCTAGAATAAGGCTGTTGGAAACTTAGAATACTAAAACAAGAGTGTTAGAACCCCAGAATTTCAGAAGATGGAATGTTAGTGTTGAAAGCAGAGCCTGCTAGACACTACCCATGCCTAAAACCTCACTAGCAGATACATGGTCCAGGCCTCAGAGGCTGACCAGAGCCCTGGCTGGCCAGCATGGCTCATGGCCCAGGCCTCTTGCAGGCCACAATGAAGCAGATCCCAGTGTTGGGAGCAGTGATGGCAGAGTAACTCAGGGGGCTATGCGCGAGTTGCTCAATGTCGAAGCCAGCATCCAGAACAGCCTGCTCCACCTCCTCCTTCTCCAGGACCACACAGGAGAACTTGCGCTTCCCCACCATGTAGGATGGAAGCTGGAGAGTGACAGAGGTCACCAGATGGCCCCCTGGCTTGAGCAGCGAGGCCAGGTTGCACAGCGCAGCACGGTAGGCATCCAGGCTGCAGCAAGCACACTCCATGGCGAGCAGGGTGAGCACGCAGTCAGCAGGGGGCAGCGTAGCCGGGGACAGTGGGTTGCTCAGGTTGGCATCGCACTTGAGCACCCGCTTCACCACAGCTCGCAGCTTCTCCTCCTTCTCGCACCACCGGCCACTGCAGAGAGAGGGCAGCACTCAGAGGAGGCATATTTTGGTCCCAAGGGAACTCTCAGCCCACTGTGACCAGAAGCTGCAGTTTATCTCTAGACCCAAAGGATTGCTTTTCCTCAGTCCTGGTGTGATTTGACAGCAGGTTCATCTCTAATCTGCACTTCAGTTTCTCCAACAGGAAAGTGCTCAAAGTGAGGGACCAGATGAATTATAGAAATGTTCCTGTCTCTGATTCTATGTTGAGCCCCTCCCCTTGACCCCCAGAAGAAACAAGGAGCCCCCAATGTGCATTGGGCATTCAATAAACAATGAATGGGTGGATGAATTAATAAATTAACTACAGATAATGTGAATGTTCATATCCTTTAAAATATAAAGTTGAATGACAACAAGCAAATTCTAGAAGATAACACAAAGCAAATTAATCTGCTATAAAGTTTGAAGATGAATAAAAAACAGATTGTCTAGACATACATAAATATATGATAAAAATCATTTCTAAAAAACATTAGAGTTATAAACAGTAAGTTCAGATTAGCGATTACTTCAGGTAGGAAAGGCAGGGGGCAAGGAATAGAGGAGAGAAACATGTAAGTCATCAGTATTTGAGTATTCAGGTTGTATTGTGGGTTCATGTCACTATCTACAATATGTGACACTAGATATAGATGATTGAAGGAGACAGATGGATAGATGATATATGTAGATAGATAGAGAGACAGACAGACTCTGACTGACTGGAAGGAAGCATCTGATCTTCAGTGCTCAGGTCTGGTTGTATAACATCACAACACAGTCCTGGGATCAGCAACATGCTCCCAAAACTGCTTTTGTCCTGGGGTGTCATAGATAACAGGGAGCACATTGAGAATGGAGTTGATGTCCAGCTCCCTAGCAATCCCACCATTTACCCTCCAAACCCTTACCTGTCTCCCTCCAGCTCACAGGCAAATTTCACTGCCGGGGACCAGTCATAGGCTCCTGGCTCCTTCTTCAGCCACTTTTCCAGCTCTTCCCGGTTGCGGTCAGTGAAGTCCGAGAGAGTGATGTCTCGGAAGGACTCACAGGCAGCGAGTACTTGGTAGATGGTAGGGCCCGAGCCAATGTCAATCAGGGTGTCCCCTTTGAGGCCCCCTGTGGGAAGGCAGGAGGTGGCTGAGATTAGCCTAAGAGTCTGAGAGCTCAGGTAGTCTTAGAATGTTAGATCCTGGGAAGGCAGGAGGTGGCTGAGATTAGCCTAAGAGTCTGAGAGCTCAGGTAGTCTTAGAATGTTAGATCCTGCTGTGTCAGACCTTGGAGAGGGGAACATGTGAAAGAAATGGGGCCCAAAGCAGACTGCAAGGCAAGGGGGATTATACCCCAACGCTGCCCAAGGTGGGAAGCAGCTCCAATAATGACAATGCTCAAGGATTGATAGTCTCCTGCATGTCAATAAAAAAACAAAAACAAACTAGTTGAGTAGGACTCATGTTAATCCTATGTGTGTAATAGTAGAACTGTGTTCCCTAGTTTTTAATGGCTGATTTTTTTTGGAAATAGATCACCTGGCTTTTCTTCCTAGGGACCTCTGAGTGGACTTGAACTGCCAACCTTTTACTTAGTAGCTGAGCATGTTAACTCTAGGGACTATACATGCCAAACACAATGCTATATACAAGCAGTCCCCAGGTTACAAATGAGTTCCATTTTAAATCTGTCTTTAAGTCAAATTATGTGTAAGTCAAAACAGGTACAGTTCCCATCTAACATCAGTTAGTCAAATGTTTGTCTTAGTATATCATGTACCTTTATATGCATAAAAAGTATTTTTAAAAAGACACTTCCAGATACACTAAAATATATTTAACATAATCATACAGTAATAATTATAATAATATTTTGATGGGCATCACAAAATAGTGCCCATTTGTTATTACAAACCATTGTATGCACCTCAAATCTTTAATATAATATGGTTTACAGGGGTTTGTTCCTAACTATGGATTGTGGTAACCTGGGCACTGCCTGTGTTTTATATGCACTCATTTCTGTTTACATGTCAGAATCACCCTGTGTACCATTTTTATTTCCATTTCACATATTAGTAAACTGAGTCTGAGCTAGGTTAAACAATTAGCTTGATAACTTTCAGCCCAGAGCTTGACCATGGCCCTCCCAGGACAGAGAACAGATACCACAGGCTCTCCTCTGGAGAAGATTCTGGCTGCAGCAGACAGAGAGGACATCTGGAGGCAGTGGCCCTTTAAGGTTGGCACGGAGCCTCCTCTGATGTTCAGCCTGGCCTGGATGTGTTCCATTAGATGAGGAGTAGGACGGGAGAGTTGGGCAGGAGCAGGAAGCAGAGGGCTGAGAAGGATATGATCCAAGAAGGCAGCCAGGGTGAGTTGAGGATCATCTAGAAGCTGGAATGAAGCATGACTTCCAACATTTCATTGGAAGCTAGGCTTGAAGCCATCTCTCCACTGTAGGGTCTCAGCCCACCAGGCTGTACTCTGATTTCTGTCTCCACACCCACCTGTACCATCAGGCTCAGCAACTTCTTAACCCCCTCCTGCCCAGACCCAGGCCCAGTCACTCACCAGGAGATTCCCCAATCAAGTACCCAGAGGGAAGACATGGTTACAATCCCAGTGTGAGGTGAGAGGGGCAGCAATTATCACTAGGAGGCAGTGGGTACTATGTGTCCATTTTACAGGTGGTATAATCAAGATCCTTGGAGATGAGGATTTTGCCAGCAGGTTTGTGAAAGAGCTGAGATCCCACCCAACACTCCTGCTTCCCCTGAGACAGGACTTTTCCAGACACTTGCCACTGCCAAATGTGCACTACATACTTTCAGGCAAGGTGACTCTGACCCTGCTCAATCCTGCTGTCTTCCCTCAACCTTCTCTGGTCTCAGAGGCCTGGCTATGCAAGGGTAGGGCTGGACTTGTGAGCTGGAGAGCCTTCCCTCCTCCACCCCAAAGACCTAGGGTCTAACAGGGAGCATTTTGGGGATTACAAGATGCTGTATTCTACCCCCACACACATTCCTCACCCCCTTCCCTCCCACACCCCACACATTCCCCGATCCCTGTTTCATTTGCACGTGCAATTCCTGGGCAGTGGGGAGACAGACCCAACCTCCCACATACTCTTGCCCAAAAAGAGTGGCAGGGTCCAACAAGCTCCTTCATCCCCAGCCTCTGCAGCCTCCTAGAGACCAGGCTTCCACCCAGGCTAGCCTCCTGTGACTCCTTCTCCCTGTCTCCAACTCAAGGTCCCCTAGAGACCCAGGGGGAAGGGCCACCCTTCTGCTCACCAGGACCGAATGTCTTATGCAGACACTCCAGGTTAAACTTGAGCATCTCGGCCTCAGGTGAGGGGCCGCTGTCGAAGCTGTAGTAGGTGGTCAGGTAGTCCCTGGGCTGGAAGTACTTCTGGTACTCTTCTCCCCCTGTGAAGCCGCCCTCCATGGTGGTCAGTGTGTATGTAATGCTCCTGCCTGCCCAGGCTTTTGAAGGCTCTGGAAGCTCTGGACTCCACCCCAGAACCCAGCCCGCCCACTTGCTCCTCTCAGGTGACCTCTCCTTGAGCCACCCCTTCTGCTGTGAGTGGAAGGGACACAAATTAACTGAATTCCTCTAAACCCAGAGCTATGGCAACTGAGGCTACAACCAATCTGGGCCCACTTTTTCAAGGGACGGACTCATGTCCCTTAGGATAATTGGTGGGGCTCAGCCCTGGGTCCCACTTTCAACTCTGCCAATCATGTGCTGCTACATAACCTTGGGCAGGTCCCAAACCTCAGTTTCCCCAACTGCTTTTCCACTTTACTGGCTGGGAGAACTAAGATCACTCCCCTGGCTCACAGTTAGTTGTCTGAGTTCATAGCAAAACCATCTTCTGGTACAATTCAGAGCCACTGGGCTCTCTCCAGACCAAGCATCCTAGCCCTTCTGAAGGAGAGAGTTCAGACCCAGGACAGACAGAATTAACTGCTTCATCTGTGTCACCTTGTGGTCCCACTCAGTGCTCTGTGTTACTGTACGGCAATCAGAAAGATTTGACCATCCTCCATCAATAGGGACAAAAGAGCCCAAGCATAAAGTATAAACTCACCACGTGGCCCTGGGTAAAGCAAGTCCTGGACTTCAGTTTTCTTCCCTTTAAAACAGGAGTGGGTTGTGAACCTTACAACAAACAGAAAAGCTCCACCTCTTTTCTGGCACCAGGAAACAGCTCTAACTTGACAACAAAACAGATAGAAATGAATCAGCTATACTTGAGGTCCAGGCCTCCTGCCCTGGAAGTGAGAAGGATAAGAATGTCTTGTTCTGGCTTTAAAGAAACAAACAATGCTGACCTCTGCTCTGAATATGGTCCAGCAGATTGAGACCTTCACAGAGGCAGGAACACTCAGTGGTTGCCTTCAGGACTTGGTCTCCAAGGGATGAGGAACCTGGTCCTGTGCACCACAGCCTGTACCACAAAAGACACTTAAAGCAAGTAGAAAGCTGAAATACGTTATGTAATTTAAGGAGGGCTTAATAAAGGGATGGTATTAGCAAGGAGTCTGGGTGGTCCAAATGGTTAAGCATTCAGCTGCTAACCAAAAGGCTGGAGGTTCTCAAGTCCACCCAGAGGGCCCTGAGAAGAAAATCCTGGCATTCTACTCCCAGAAAATCAGCCCCTGGAAACCCTATGGAGTGTAGTTCTACTCTGATACACACGAGGTCACCATGACTTGGGTGGACTCAACAGGCAGCTGGTTTGTTTATTCACAGAGGTGTGAACAGATAAGAGAGAAGCCACAAAGCTAGTAGCAAGGAGAACAATTATCAGCCTGAAGCCTGAGGACACTAGCCACAGGTGCAGAGAGCTGTGTGGATAGGCTTCCACAGCGGGAAAGAAGCTGGGAGAACAAGTACCCAGGCCTCAGTCAGATTTTACCTCCCTCCTGTAAAATCCAACTAAAATCCAGAGGACAAGAGTGCCGCTAATACAGACCACAAAGGTCAGCCTCCTGGGGTGCAACAGGATAGAGAAGGATGGAGGATGGATGTATAGGTGCAAGTGGAAGATGTACCCATCAACACTGATAGAATTGAATTGTGGTGGTGTTTGTACTGTCCAGGGGATGCCAGAGCCCCTGCAGTGGGATGTGGGCAACAAAGAGTCTTCCCAGGGGTGCAGATTGCTCAGTATGACCATCTGCCCTGCTGTTGCTGGATGTCCTAGGGATGGACAAAGGAGACCCTTCCCAAACTTAGGGCCACCTGTGCCTCCTGCCACCAGAGGAATGACTTCAGATGCCCCCTAGTATTCCAGAACCCCCATGCTCTACCTGCTTCTTCACTACATCTGCCCTTTCCGTCTAAACACACACCCTACCTCCAGACTAGCCAGAGGTCCTCACAGCACAAGGAATCTGCTCAAAGCCAAGTCTCTTATGTCTTCCCCTAGGGTAAGATTTCTCAACCTCAGCACCATCAATATTTGGAGCCAGATCATTCTTTGTTGTAGGAACTGAACTGTGCATTGTAGGATGTTTACCAACATCCCTGGCCTCTACCCACTGGATGCCTGTAGCGTCCCATCTCCAGTTGACACACCAAAATTATCTCCTAGAAGGTAAATTTGCCTTCAAATGAAAACCACTGTCCCAAGTCTTGCCTTCAACCCTTTGACAACATTTGCTCATGATAGGGCAGGTTCCATCCCTTTTAAGAATGTCAGCATCACTTGAGGCTACAATGGTGACTTTTGAATAGCTTAAAGAAATTTCTATTCAAGGGAACTTCTGCCTTAGTTTCAAGCAAATGACCAAATTTTAAGCTACCTGTCAAGAAAGAAAGGCCCCTGGAAACAAACTGTGGTACATACATACAATGGAATAGTACTACTCAAACATAAAGAGAAATGAAGTCCTGATAACATGATACAACATGGTTGAATCTTGAAAACATTGCACTGAGTGAAATAAATCAGTCACAAAAGGACAAGTATTATATGGTCCCACTTCTACAAAATATCTAGAATAAGCAAATGCATGGAGATCAAAGTGTATTGGTGGTTAGCAGCGGTGGACAGGGAAGAGGGAAAAAAGGGGGACTCATTGATTAGGGGACACTACTAAGCTTCTGTTAGGTGTCTGGGAGTGACACAAATGGTAAAGCACTTGACTTCTAACTGAAAGACTGATAGTTTGAACCCACCCAGAAGCACCTCAGAAGAAAAATCTGGCAATTTGCTTCCAAAAGCCTTGAGAACCCTATGGGGCACAGGACTAGTTTGATACACATGGGATCGCCATGAATCAGAATCAACACCTCAGCAACTGGTTTATTTATTTATTTATTTATTTATTTATTTATTTATTTTACTTTGGGCTTCTTTTAAGGGCGATGGGAAAATTTGGAAGCAGACAGTAGTTATGGTTGTGCTATATAATGAAAGTAATGAATGTCATTGAATTGTATGTATGAAACATGTTGGAATGGCAAATGTTTTGTTGCAAATATATTGACTACAATAAAGAAAAGAAAAGAATGTAAGGCCACTTGAAAAGTCAACTGGAGAAGAAAAAGGATCATTCCTTTTTTTTTTTTTTTTTTTTTTACATTAGGAAAGTAGCCATCTCAGCATATTCCACACTGTTATCTGTCTTCCTGCCTGACCCTGTGCTGGAAAGAAACAAGAAATAAGTCCAGAAGATGAACCGTGCAAGGGTAAACAAGACTCTTCTCCCTGGTGAGTTGTAAGCAGCAAACCAGAGCCTTATTTCATACTACATACAAAAATAAAGGTTAAATATCTTTTTTAAAAAATCAGTCACACATACTATACAGTACCATTCCCATGCCATAGCCAGAACAGGGAAATCTATAGAGACAAAAGTAGCTCTGGTGTGGCATAGTGCCTAAGGCATTTGACTGCTAAGCAGAAGGCTGGCAGTTCAAATCCACCAGCCACTCCTGGAAAGGAAGGTTAGACAATCTACTTCCATAGTGATATTGCCTCAGGAACCCAAGCAGGGGTCTCTATGAGTCGGATCCGACTCGACAGCATTGAGTTTGGCTTTATTTTATTTTATTTTATTTTTCCTTTTTTGGTTTGAGGGCTGTGGGGGAGAGAGCTAGGGAGGTTAGGGGTGATAATTTATGAGTACTGAATTTCTTCTGGAGGTGATGGAAATGTTCAAAAAATTGAGTACTATGATGGTTCCACATATCCACGACTATCCCAAAAACAAAACCCACTGCAGTTGAGTCAATTTCAACTCAGAGTGACCCATAAGGTATCCAAGGCCATAAATCTTTACAGAAGTAGCTTGCCTCATGTTCCCACAGAACTGCTGGTGGGTTTGAACCACCAACTTTCTGGTTCGCAGCCAAGTGCCTTAACCACTGTACCACCAGAGCTCCTTATCCATGACTATTCTTAAAAAAAAAAAAAAATGAATTGTAAACTTTAAATAGGTGAATTGTATAGTACATACCACAAATTACATCTCAATAAAGCTGTTAAGGAGTCCCTAGATTGCTCAAGCAGTTAAGTACTAGGCTAATAATCACAAGGTTTAAGGTTCAGGTCCACCTAAAGACACATCAGAAAAAAGAGCTGGTGATCTGCTTCCAAAAAATCAGCCATTGAAAACCTTATGGAGTCTCCATAAGTCAGAATTGACTTGATGGCCGTTGTTTGTGTGGGGTTTTTTAAGCTATTAAAAATTAAATCACAGAAGCTATCACAAGTGAATGGTTACTAAATTTCAAGATATGGAAGAATTTTCTAAGCTTAGCTAGAGGAAAGGTTGAAATAATTAACATATTTTATTAGAGGAAAAATTGCCTTAACTATTGGTCTGAAAAAAGGAGAATGAGACTACACGCATGAGTATATGGAGGCTTGACAGAGCATCTTTCCACATATGTATTTGTTGCAAATATATCCATAAATATAGTGGAGCATATGGGAGGCAAAATATGAAAACTTCTTAGCCATAACCAAACTTTGAGGTAATGAGTCACTGGGCCTGGAGGCTCAGGACCATAGTCTTGAGGAACATCAAGATCCATTGGCATAACATACTACACAAAAACTTTTCTCTACATCCTACTTTGATGAGTAGTGACTGGAGTCTCTAAAGCTTGTGAGTGGCCATCTAAGGTGCAACTATTGACCTCAACTCACCCAGAGCAAAGAAGAAGAAAATCAAAGAAGTATGGAAATAATTAGACCAAAGGACTAACAGACCACATGAACCCAGCCTCCATGACCCTGAGATCAGAAGAACCAGAAGGTGCCTGGCTACCACTGGCAACTGCTTCAAAAGGGATCCTAGTAGGAAATCCTGGACAGAGAGGGAGAAAAATGTGGAGCAAAACTCAGTCACAAAAAAGACAGGCTTTCTGGTCTGATAGAGACTGGTGGAACCCCTGCAACTGTGGCCCTTAGACACCCTTCAACCCTG